CAGCAGGCAGCGAAACCACTGAGCTAAATCCCTGGCCCCCTCTTTCTTTCTTTCTTTCTTTCTTTCTTTCAGGGTCTTGCTATGTAATCCAGGCTGGCCTTGAACTTGCTATGTGTCCAGGCTGGCCTCAAACTCATGGCAATCCTCCTGCCTCAGCCTCTTGAGTGCTGGGATTACAGCCATGTGCCATCACTCCCAGCTTGTTTCTATACTATTTTCATATGCTAATTAGAAAATTGGATTGAATGATAATCATTCTGTTCTTTCAGCAATATTTTAAAAAGTCATGATTTTAAAAAGGTAACAAATTCACATAGTTCAGAATCAAAGAATTAAGTCTTGCTGTTTTTCCTGTGCCCTGCCCTTCTATTTCCCAGCTCCTTTCCTCTAGTGAAGTGATCATTTTTGTTCCTTCCTAGTGGATCGTTTGGTATTTTTTATTCTTTTTTTAAATAAGATATTATAACATGAATACAACTTTATACCTTGCCCTTTTTTTCATAATCATGCAGAGAGCTACCTCTTTTTTAATTATTATTATTATTATTTATTTATTTATTTATTTTTGCAGTACTCGGGATCAAACTCAGGACCTTGTGATTTCGAGGCAGGCAGCGGCACCACTGAGCTAAGGCAGCGGGCACCACCTGGCCCTACCTCCTTTTTTATAATTGTAAAGTACTCCATTGTGTAGGTTTAGTTAAATAAGGACTTTCTCTAGTTTTGTTGTTATATTTTGCCATTACAGATGAAGCTGCAATGGATAATCTTGTTATTCCTTTCAGGAATGCATTATCTAAATTCTTTAATTTCTGAGCCCAGAGAGATCAAATAACAAAGGAACCCATGACATCTGAATATATGTTTCTTAAGATTCTTAGTGGGGCATGGTAACACTTACCTATAATCCCACCACTCTGGAAGGCTGAGGCAGGAGGATTCCAAGTTCAAGCTTAGCCTGGGCAACTTAGTGGAATGCTCTCAAAATAAAATAAAAAGGGCTTGGGATATAGCTCAGTGCAAAGGCCCTAGGTTCAATCCCCAGTACCACAAAAAGAAAAAAAAATTTTCTTTCAAAGCCTGGCCTAGTGGCACATGCCTATAATCCCAGCTACTCAGAAAACTGAGGTAGAAGGGTCGAAGATTTAAGCCCTGCCTGGGCAACTTAGTGAGACCCTATATCAAAGTAAAAAAATAAGCAAAAAAGTCTGGAGATATACAGTAGTTCATTGTAAAGTCCTGGGTTCAATCTCCAGTACTGAAAAAGATTCTTTCAGTTTTTTGTTATTTGCTTAATTTGTTTTGGTTATACAGTGCTGGGGAGAAAAATCTTAAGTTTTTGATAGAAAATTTGAAAATAGAAATCTATTTAAAATAAATAAACTTTACTTTTGGTAAAACTTTGGTAAGGGATGTATCCAAAAGTTGTTATCAGTTCTGAATTTTGGATAGAGTTTAGAATAGGAGATATTTCTATCAAAACCTGTGGGATAAATCCCCAGAAGTGCTGGATCAAAGAGCAAATCAGTTATCTACCACTACATGACAAATTATCCCCAAGATTTATTGCCCTAAAATTGCAACCATTATAAACATGGGTGGACATATATTGCTGTGGTATGATTCTTTTAATTCTTTTGGGAAGATCCCCAGCAGGGGAATAGCTGGGTCAAATGGGACCTCTAGTCCTAGTTCTTTGAGGTATCTCCATACTGATTTCCACAGTGGTTGCACCAGCCTGCACTCCCACCAACAATGGAGAAGGGTTCCTTTCTCCCCACAGCCCCACCAGCATTTGTTATTGGTTGATTTCTTGATAGCAGCCATTCTTTCCGGGGTGAGGTAGAATCTTAGTGTTGTTTTCATCTGCATCTCTCGAATGATCAGTGATGTTGAACATTTTTTCATATATTTATTTGCTGCTTTTACTTCTTGTTCTGAGAAATGTCTGTTCCTTTCAGATGCCCATTTTTGAACTGGGTCTTTGAATTTGGGGGGTCTGATTTTTTTCAGTTCTTTGTATATTCTAGATAGTAGTCCTTTGTCTGAGGTACAGCTGCTAAAAATTTTTTCCCACATTGTAGGTTGTCTGTTATCTCTGTTGGTGGTTTCTTTTGCAGTGCAGAAGCTTTTTAATAAGATGAGATCCCAGTTGTTCATTCTTTGTGCTAGTTTCCGTGCTACTGAGGTTTTGTTCATACAGTTTGTAATAGCTAAAGCTTGGAAGCAGCCCAAGTGCCCATCGACAGGAAAATGGATAAAGAATATGTGGTTTTTTTATAAAATGGAGTACTACTCAGCCATAAAGAATGAGAAACTAGAGTCATTTATAGCTAAATGGATGCATAGTGAGGCCATACTCTTAAGTGAAATAAATAGGACACACGTGTAAATACCGAATAGTTTCTCTAGTGTGAGAAACTGATAGTATAAATAAGGGTTAAAATGCTTAAAATGAATAATTGATGATTTGAAGTAGGAAAAAAGGTCCAAAGTCATAGGGGTGAAGGAAGGGGAAGGGGAAAGGAAAGAAGGGAAAAGATAAATTATGAGAAAAGAAAAAAATGGAAATGAAATCTATGTAAATAGGGAAGGATGGAAGGGATGAAGGGCACACAGGTAATGGGGAAAAAATAAGAATCAAGATACATCATGTACAGGTACAAACACCCAATGATAAATGTAAACAAATTGTATACCTAAAATGTACCAATAAAAGAACTTAAAAAAAAAAAAGCAACCATTGACTTCACCGAGTTTCTAAGGATCAGGAATCTGATAGAGGGTTACCTGGCTAGTTGTCACTCAGGATGTTTCATGAAATTTGATCAGGCCATCATGGAGGTGACATTCATGTGCAGGCTTGATTGGAGGTGGCCAGCCCACTTCGAAGAGGATTATGCATGTGGCTGGCAGGAGCCCTCAGTTTCTTCCTGGCTCTTTGCGGAAGTCCTCACTTTCTTGCCATGTAGGCCTTTCCCTGGGGATACCTCTGGGTCCTCAGACATAGCTACTGTTTTTCCCCTTGGCAAATAATCTGAGATACAGAATGAGAGGGAAGCCACAGTGCCTTTTCTGACATAGTCTCAGAAGTCACACACTGTCACTCTGCTTTCTTCTTTTCATTAGAAAAACAATATTAAGCCAACCTACATTGAAGTGCAAGGAGCTCAGGCTCCACCTCTTAAAGGGAAGAGTAGCAAAGTCTTTAAGGGCATATTTAAAACTACCATATAGGGTATAAACATTTGTCTTTTTTTTTTTTAAATTTTTGGTACTGGGGATCATACTCGGGACCTTGCGCTTTCAAGGCAGGTGGCAGCACCACTGAGGTAAATCTCCAGCCCAACATTTGTCATTTTGAAAATATTGCTAAGTTATCTTCAATTGAGCTATACTTCTTTAGATTCCCATCAGCAGTGTTTGAGAGTTGCCAGACTTTTTTAGTGAACTTAATTAGGTTTATACCAGAAAGGAAAAAAGTAAACCCATCAGCTTATCACAGTCTGCTGTTTATGGTTTTATTTATGTGTGTGTTTCCACCACTCAGCTGGGTGCTCTTAAAGCACAAGAGACAGGAGAACATTTTTTCCAAGTCCTTATTGCCTGCAGAGGTTTCGCCTAGTGGTCTGTTTATAGTAAATGCTCAGGTTTTATTTATTTATTTATTTAGGTACTGGGGATTGAACTCTGATCCTTGTGCTTGCGAGGCAGGAGGCAAAACCACTGAGCTAAATCCCTGACCCAGTGCTCAGTTTTTAACAATTTATTTACATTTTGCAGTACTAGAGATTGAGCCCCAGAACCCATGCATGCTAGGCAGGCACTGTGCCACTGAGCTCTGTCCCAAGCTCCTTTTAAATTTTATTTCAGACACAGAATCTTGCTAAATTGCTTCTTGAGTATCTGGGATTACAGGAGTGTACCACCATTCCCAGCCAGTTTTGTTTTCTTTGCATACACGCACACACACACACACACCCCAAGCAAATTCCTAATTTTATAATTAAAATAATTATGAAATATTGTCTTAAGAACACAAGCATGCAGTTGGGAAATAATAAGTGAAGAAATTTCAACCACTCTAAAGATAGTGTTGCTGAGCTAATTCAAAGAACTGTTTTGTTTGGTTGGTTTTTGGTTTTATTTGGGGGGGGGGGTACCAGGGATTGAACTTGGGACCTTGCTCTTGCGAGGCAGGCGGTGGAACCACTGAGCTAAATCCCCAGCCCCAGTTTTTGGTTTTTGGCACAGGGTCTCACTATGTAGTTCAGGCTGCCTCGAACTCACTATGTAACCTAGACTAGCCTTGAACTTGTGGCAATCCTCCTACCTCAGCCTCCCAAGTGCTAGGATTATAGGCTTGTGCCACCATGCCCAGCCAGAACTGTTTCTAAAATACTCTTGATTTTTTTTTTTAAGTAGTTACATGGAATACCCAAATCAAATTTTACTCTCAGAAAAGGTGTTTGTGCCAGTTGTCTCACCTTATGCCATTCCCTCAATGTTTTCATTACCATAGCTTTGTATTAAATCAGGTAGTATAAATCCTCCAGCTTTACTCTTATTTTTCAAATTGGTTTTGCTATTATAAATCCTTTGCATTTCCAAATAAATCTTAGAATAAGCTTGTTGAGCCACGTGATCGGGTTAAATCACAGTGATGAATGACAATAGCATGTACCCTGGTGGGGATGACGTGAAGGGGACTTTGCCACTGTGGCACTTTACCCAAACCCTATTGTTGTCAGCTAGCTCCTTCCAAAACCAGCTTGCCAACTAAATGTTACCTGGTTCTGGGTTGCTTATCTCTCCTTCTGGAGTTAGATTCCAGGTACTCCTTGTCTCTAAGAATTGAACAAAATGAGCAAAAAGCAGTGGCAAAGCTTATTTGAAAAAGTAAAAGTGAAGAGTGAGGGAGAAACTGGCTTAGCTGATCAAGCTTGGGCCAAGTAAAAGAGGAAAAAGTAAGATAAAAGTACACCATAGAGGAAGCAGGCCAGGCTTTGGTGAGGAAAGCCACACAGCAAGCTCTTCTTGGTATCTGTGTCCTTTTAAGCTACCCAAATCTGGAGAAAACCCGTAAGAACTTCGACATTCGGGTCCTGAGAGGCAGTGCTATGATCCTACAGCTCAGCTCTAGGCCATCCTATTGAAAACCTGCTCAAGTTCTTGGGAGAAGCTCATGTACGGGGCTTTGGGAACTGTTCTGTGCATGTGTTCCAGGATCTTGTAATTTATAGATCACCTCTGCTTCCCCAGCCAACTTTGACATGCCCTAACCTCCTATGTCAATGTCACTACACCCTAGTTATGAGAAAAAGCTCAGGCAAACTCGAACTAAAGGACATTCTATACGAAATGTCTGACTAGTGTTCCTCAAAACTATTGAGCTCAGGAGCCAGGCAGGAGGATGGTCGCAAGTTCAAGGCTAGCCTGGGCTACATAGCGAGACCCTGTCTCAAAAAAACAAAAACAAACTAACAAACTCTTTTTTTTTTTTTTTTTTTTTTTTTTTTTTTTTTTTTTTTTTAATTCATTTAAAAAAAAAAAAAGGAAAGGGCCAGGGATTTAGCTCAGTGACACCATGCCTGCCTGGCAAGCACAGGTCCTGAGTTTGATCCCCGGTACTGAAAAAGAAAAATAAAATTTAAATTTAAATATAAATTTTTTAAAAAGGAAAGAGAAATTGTCATCATAGACCCAAGTAGATTAAGAAGATACAACAACTAAATGCAGTGGAATGTATCCTAGAACTGAAAAAGGACATTAGCATAAAGTAGCAGTAATATACCAGAGCTCACCAAAGAGAGGACCTCTCTTCCCTATAAATTCAGTTTTTAAAAGCATTTTGGAATTGATAGGAAAGGCCAAGACAGCTGGAGAAAGGTTTTGTTTTGAACAGTTCCTATTTTATTCCTAGTAATTCACAAATTGCATAAAGATTCAAATTAGGAATATATATGCTAAAGTAGGATAAAATACAATATCATTAAGCAGTCCCTGCTCAAAGTTCTCATCAGAGAAGGATAAAAGTTTGGATGAAGACAGGGCTTTTCTTGAACATAGCCTTTTTGTTTTGGGGATTGAATCCATGACAATATGGATAAATAGTGGTTGTTTTCCTATTGTATTTTGTTTGATGTGGTTGTTTTGGTTGTTTAACAAAAAAAACCTCTTACTTAGGTAACTGAGGTCTTTATTTTTTTGAGACAGAGTCTTGCTGTGTAGTTCAGGCTGGCTTTGAACTCACTATGAAGCCTGGCTGGTCATGAACTCAAAATGATCCTCCTGCCTCAGCCTCCCGAGTGCTGGGATTACAGGGGTGCACAACCACACCTGGCAGTAACTGACCTCTATGCAAGTAAATCCAATGGTACATTTAAACCTGAAACATACAGTTCTGAAAATATGACAGAGAACTCTTATCAGTGTTTTCCATTGTACAACATAGTAGATCATGGTCAGCATTTTTTAAAGAATAGAATAGAAATATCAGAGTACAATGCATAAACTATATGGTTGTGTTATTTTGGGATATATTCAATACATTCCAAAATGCATTGGAAAATATTCAAAAACATTCACTTCTGTATATGTGTGTGCATTAGGGTACAATGAGAATATATACAATGTTGTGAAAATATTCAAAACATTTATATATATGTAAATGTGGAATGGGTTGCATTGTAAAATATATTTCTTACTGTAGGTACTGTAGGTCTTGATTAAAGAAAATTACTGTTTTGGGCTGGGGATTTAGCTCAGTGGTTCCACCACATGCCTCACAAGCACAAGGTCCCAAGTTCGATCCCCAGTACCAAAAAGGAAAGAAAGAAAATTACTGTTTAGATTATACAGACTTATTTGGTAGGGAGATTTTCTATCCTCTTGGTAGGAGTAGGTAGCAGTAATTTCTATCCTGTACTTGAAATACATTACTCACTATGCTACAACTATTACCAACTTGAACATATTACTATGTATTTAATTAGAACCAGTGGTAATTATTATGGAATAGCAAAAAACTGTCATATCACTAGGTAATATCTGCAACTCATTGAAGTCAGGGTAGCTTTTTCAAATACGTACAACACCACACCTCCCAAAAGAGAATCCCTACTGGTGGGAAGGCTCCTGAAGGGATGTTTCCCGTGTCTCAAGTCCATCAGGTTGAAGAAACAAAATGGAGGGCTGTGTGTCAGTTCCTAGGAAAGACGTAGCATTGTAGTTAGCGCTGATGTCTGGATTTCACCATTGTAACAGGCAAAACTAGATGGCGGAAGACAACAGTGGAGACCTGTCCTCATGGCTGTGACAGAGAAAGACTTGCTGCTTTATGACTGTATGCCATGGACAAGAGATGCCTGGGCATCGCCATGTCATAGCTACCCTCTTGTCGCCACAAGGTAAGAACCAAAGACAATATTTATCCTACTCTAAATCTAATAAGAGGATTTTTAAAGTGAATTCTATTATCCTAGGTGCCTAAAATAGCATTAAAATAGCTAAGGTAGTTGATGCAAACAAAAACTTTGCTTTTTCACAACCTACTGATCATTTTGCAGATCCTAGCTTAGAACAAATGTTTCTGTCACTGGTGTTTTTATGTGCAGTTTTTAAATTGTTGAAGCAACTTCCTAACCACTGACTTTAAGACTTGCTTAGTCATGGAGACAATAGGGGTTTTTTCTTTATTGACTGTGACTAGAAAACCACTGAAATTGTGGCAACCTTTTGACTGGGTAATGAAATCATTTAAATAAAAATGTGGTACTGTGGATAAACCACACAGCTCAGCCAAAAATGTTCTGTCACATCTCTGTTATTAAAAGTGCACAATTTTGATTCCCTCAGTAAACATTTTGTTGTTGGTTTGGTTTTATTTTGTTTTTTTTTTGTACCAGGGATCGAACTCGGGACCTTTTGCTTTTGAGACAGGCGGCACCACTGAGCTAAATCCCTGGGCCCCCTCAATAAACATTTTACCTAAAACAACAATGTTCCTAGTATGTCAGATGTGGGGAATTGATTTTGTGGGGGTTTTTTGTTTGTTTTTGTTTTTTTGAGACAGGGTCTAGTTATGTAGTTGAGGCTGGCCTTGAACTCACTATGTAGCCCACGCTGGCCCCAAACTCATGGCAATCCTCCTGCTTCAGCCTCCTGAGCGCTGGGATTCTAGGTGTGTGCCACCATGTCTGGCAAAATGTGGGGAATTGAAAGAGAAAAGAAAAGAGAAATTTAGACTTGGGAGCTAGGATGCCTTGAGGGATAATAACTATAAAACTAAAAAGCATATTCAATTTTTTTTTTACTTGAGTTCAACTTCAGTTTCACAAGACAAAAAGAAAGAAAAAACTCAAATTTAGTTTTACATAGACTTAAAGAATCAAGTGTTGCCACAATTCAAAAACTGCGCACTGAAAAAAGAGCCCTAAAGCTAAGCATGGTGGTGCATGTCTGTAATCCCAGTATTCAGCACCAGAGACAGGAGAATCATGAGTTTGAGACCATCCTGGACAATGTAACAAGACCCTATCTCCAAAAAACAAAACAAAACAAGCCCTATAGAAAAGTATTAGGTAATCAAAGAGCAAAATGATGGAACCATCTGATATATTCCATAGGGAACTTCCTGCTTTGAGGAGACAAAGAATCATGTGATGAAGAATATTCATTGCATTATAAGATTTTCATTTTATATAGACTTTACTTCAACTTGCCAAGTTTCTTACACATATTATTGTTTTAATAAAACTGTAATTTTAAGCCAGGAGTGGTAATGCACACCTGTAGTTCTAGTGCTGTAGGAGGCTAAGGTAAGAGGATTGCAAGTTCAAGGCTAGCCTGGGCAATTTAACAACTTATCAATACCCTGTCTCAAAATGGAAAAGGACTGGAGATGTAGTTCAGTGTAAAGTCCCTGAGTTCAATATCTAGTATCATATACAACACAGAGTTTCACACACACACATACATACACACACTATATGTATAATTTTAACTGGGCCCTGTGGTATAAACCTGTAATCCTAGCAATCAGGAGGGTGAGGGAGAAAGATTACGGCAAGTTTCTGGCCAGCTTGCACTACAAAGTGAGACTCTGTCTCTAAATAAATAAATAGGCAGAGTCAGGAGGAGAAAATTCAAAGCCAGCCTGGGCTTTACATAGTTCGAGGTTGGCGTGGACTACATACCAAGACTACATAGCTTTCCAGAAGTATCTCTATAATTTAGAGCTGGAACTCGTAGTTCACAGACTAGAGATACAGGATACACTGAGACTCAGAATACAGAGTTGTACATTCTTTAATTCCTTTAGGGTAGAAGAGTTTTACAGAAGAGTGAGTTTAACCATCAGTTTCTCTGCATTTTTTTTTCTCTGCATTTTTTAATACTCACTAAATTGTAATCCTGAAGTCAAGTACTAAGACTTAGTTATCTTAGCACTTCACCTATAGTAGGCGCTCAATAAATCTTAAGTTCTATTACTGAATTATAGTTACCCTGTCACGGTTACATTTGGAACATGGCAGGATTCCTACAGAAATATGTAGTTATATTTTAATAGTTACAATTACAGCAATTAAATTTATATTTTCTAAAGATTTAGAACTTAGACTGTAGAGATTTCTTAAGTTTCTTAAGTTCTTATTTTTTCTTGTTTTCATGTAAGTATGAATATTGTTTCTAGTGTTTTTGTTGTTGTTGTTCTGTTCTGGTCTTGTTTTTACTTCTTCCTTCTCTCTTTCCCTTCTGTCTTCTTCACCAGTTTCCCAACATTTGTGTAATCTTCTTCTGTCCTTGCTTCTCATCTCTTCCTCTTCTTCTGTTTCTCTACTTTTTTCCTCCTAACCCCTCTTAAATTTTCTCTCCTGAGGGTAAAATTGCCATAATGAGGTAATATTTACTATATACAATTTTCTGGTTTGTTTTACATTTTTTAATATAACTACAAATATAGTTCATAAGGTTAAAGGTGGCAAATTGGTTTTTTTTTTTTTTGGTACTGGGGATTGAACTCAGGTCCTTGTGCTTGCAAGGCAGGTGGCGGAACCACTGAGCTAAATCCCCAGACCAAAGGTGGCAAATTAATAATTACCACAGTTTGTCATTTTCTAGGCTATGTTTGATGCTCTTTTTTTTTTTTTGGTACTGGGGATCGAACTCGGGTCCTTGCGCTTGTGAGGCAGGCAATGGAACCACTGGGCTAAATCCCCGGCCCTGATGCTCTTGTTATTGTTGACTGTACTACTTTAGTCAAGGTGACATAATTGTTCTAATCAGTTGCTCTTCTAGGTATCCCAAGACTGAGATTGGCTAAGGGTCATAAACAATACTATAGGCCAATTCCAAAGAACCAGGGGTGAGGCCAAATAGGCAGCAACTTCTCATCCTCAATAAATTGAAGAGGTAGAATCTTGCAACAGACTCAAAACCCAAAGTCCAGCTGCTCCTAGAAGACATTCCTGAGAAGTAGTCATTTCCTAAGGATTTTAAGCACTAGCAATAAGATACCTGCCATAAGCAATTTGCAAGCATCAACCTGAGAATTAAACTAAAAAGAAAATGAGAAGACACTTAAGCAAGATGTAACCTCAGACTTTCAGCTCACCAAAGGCAAACCCAGGGGCCAGTGAGGTGAAACAATTCAAAACCCACCCACCTGGACTTGCTGAAGTGGTTAAAGTGGAAGTAACAAAGCAGATGTATGAGGGTCTAGAAAAAATCAAATCAGAAATAGTTTCTCAGATAACTATAGAAATGGTGACCATAATGAAAGACATGCTTAATGACTCTAGAGCAGATACAGGTAATAAAAAGAGGCACTTAGGAAAATGAGGGAAACCATGAATGCCCAATATAGGAAAGAAATGGAATCCATGAAACAGATTCAAACAGATATCCAGGAGATTAAAAATTCCACTGAAAGTATATCCAGCAGAATGAGCCAACATTAGGGTAGAATATCAGATCTAGAACACAGGATTGCTGTTACCAATCATGAAAAGGAAAATTTCTTGAGAATATCAAGGGATTACGAAAAATCAATCCAACAGTTGCTAGATGATTTGCAAAGAAATAATATAATATTGAACAGAGTCAATGAAAAAGCAGGAGATACCACAAATGACATAAAAAAAAACCTATTCACAGAAGTAATGGCAGAAAACTAAACAAGCATGACAAAGATTTTAACATAACAGATAAGTTAGACATATAGACCTCCAATTAGCCATAATCAAAAATAAATCTACACCAAGGCATATAATAGTCAAGATTCCAGAAATTTGACACAGGAATTTTGACACTGTTAGAGGGCAGGGGATTTAGCTCAGTGTGCCACTGCCTGCCTTGCAAGTGCAAGGTCCTGAGTTCGATGCCTGGTACAAAAAAAGCTGTTAGAATAAAGAAACAAATCACCTATAATAGAGAGCCCATCAGAATCACAGCAGACTTCTCAACACAAATCCTTAAGTCAAAGGGAGCTTAGAGTAAAGTATTTGAAGCCCTGAAAGAAAACAACCTCCAGCCCAGATTGATGTACCCTGCAAAACTATCTTTCAAAATTGATGGAGAAATAAGATATTTCCATGACAAAGAAACCTGAAGAAATTTGTTCCACCAAACCTGCACTGAAAAATGTTCTGAAGGACATTCTAGAAAGATAAGGACTACAACTCCATGAACCCCAACAGAATGTGTCCACCAGGTAAGGCAAGTAATTAAATGAGGAATAAAAGGGAACCAACAATAGGAAAATAGCATGATGTGGATAAGTCAATACATATCAGTTAAAACCATCAATGTCAGTGGTCTCAATTCACCAATAAAAAGAAACAGACTGGCAGAATGGATCAAGAAGCAAGATCCCACAATATGCTGCATACAGGAAACACATTCAATTCAAAAAGAAATTCATTGCCGGGGATTTAGCTCAGTGGTTTCGCTGCCTGCTGTGCAAGCACAAGGACCTGAGTTCAATCCCCGGTACCAAAAAACCCCCAAAACAACAAAAAAAGAGTTCTACCTAAAAAAAAAGAAAAGAAAAGAAAAAAGAAATTCATAGACTGAAAGTCAAAGGATGGAAAAACAATTTTCCATGGGACAGGAACCCAGAGAAAAGCAGGGGTAGCCATTTTATTTGCAGACAAACTGGATTTCAAGCCAAGACTGATAAAGAGAGAGAAGGTCACTACATCCTTGTAAAGGGAACAATTCAAGAGGAAGAGATAACAAACATAAATATATATCCACCAAATAATAGTGCACATAACTATATAAAACAAATATTAATGGGTATGAAAAATCAAATAAGCAATAATACAGTTGTAATGGGGGACTTCAATATCCCACTGTCACAAATAGACAAATCAACTAGACAAACAAATCAAAGAAATATCAGAAC